CCCAGACCTCGTCTATTATGATGTTCATTCAGGTACTGGTCAATTTCAGGATGCTCGGAGACATCGCGGATGTCAAGAACGCTTTCACCCAGTCAGATCCGATGACGCGGTCCCAGGGCCAAATATATGTTGAACCTTGCGAGGGCATCGACGTTGAGCCTGGATCCCTTATCCTGTTGCTGGTGAACGTTTACGGGCTGGACGATGCTCCAGCAGCGTGGCGTCGCACTGTGGTTGGCCATCTGGAAAAGCATGGGTTCGAAAGAAGTTTGCTGGAGCCCTGCTGGTGGCTGAAGTATCGAGCAGATGGGGCCATCCAGAACATGATGTTGCTGGAAGTCGACGATTTCTTTATCGGGAGTGCGGACGCGGATGCCCGAGCGTGGATTCGCGGTATCCTAGAGGACCGCTTCCGTTTCGGGAAGTATCGAGACTGTCATGCCGGCTCAGTGGGTTTTGCGGGTAGGCGTGTCTCCTTCTTTACCGGTAAGGCCGTTGTCGACCAGGAAGAGTACATCCTGGAAGAAATCCGTCCTCTGACCCTGGCCCGGGGCCGCTTGTCTGTCAAGAATTCTCCTCTCGAGCCGTCCGAGTTCAAAGCTTTGCGTTCTCTGGTCTACAAGTTTATTTGGATCGGCCGAGAGTCACGGCCAGAAGCGGCCGGAGTAGCAAGTATTTTGGCCAGTCGTTTGCGGGCTCCGACAGTGTCGGACGTGTCTTGTGCCAACAAGTTGGTGAAGCACCTGAGGGCAACAGCCTCTCGAGGATTGACGATCTGGCAGCTAGACCCTGAGCGTATGTCTTTCATATCGTTTTCCGATGCCGGCGGTGTTGGTTCGGTAGAGTCTCTCCAGGATGACAACGGCCTCCCGGCCGACCCCACCCAGGGAGCCTGGATGGTGTTGGCTGCCGACAAGTCTGTTCTCGATAATCAGGTGGTAAGAGCGTCTGTGCTCGGTTGGCGTAGCAGTAAGCTACGGCGTAAGGTGCCTTCGACGCTAGCCGGGGAGACTCAAGCTCTCTCGGCCGCTGTGGCGGAAGTCGAGTTTCTTCAAGTGTTGTACCGTGATGTTGTGTTCAGGGACGTTGATCTGCCTGATTGTGTGCGGGCCTCAGGGCCCTTCACTACGGTCTTAAGACGCGATTGTAGCTTGGGTTCCCGGGAACAACAGGTCCACGTGGTGGACGCCAAGTCAATCTATGATACCTTCCAGAAGGAAGGCAACGCTTCGGCCCGTGATAGGCGTACTGCTCTAGACCTCGCCATCATTTGCGAGTCCTTGGAGCGAGCCAGAGGTAAGATACGGTGGATACCCCATGGCCGTATGCCTGTGGACGCTTTAACCAAGGACGACGTGACTAAGTGTAATGCTGCGCTGTTTGATTTGATGACCAACGGCAAGCTCAGTCTGGTGGACGAGGCCCAAGAGGTCGGCCGCCGGAAGGACATGCCCGAGCGCAAAGACCGCTCTCAGTCGGCCTCCAGAAGAATGCTGTCAGAGCCCGCCTGGATAGCATGGCTCGACTACCTGGACCAGAGGGCTCCTCCTGGCCTGGTTGGTGGTGGTAGTGTCCTACCGTCCTCCTCCTCTCTCCCTCCGCCTTTATCATCTTCCGAATCTGTTTTTCAATAATCTGCTCTCTAGTTATGCCTCTCTCTCTCTCTCTATCTTTCTGCTGCTGCGCACGTTTAACATTTGCAGGTCGCTTTTGACACTGCCAGGCAGTGGCCACGGACCTGTGAATTGAATTTTGGGACAGCTAAACCTAGAGAAAGTTGGACCCATGTTCCAGGGGTCCATAATCTCACGTATAGGTTTAGCTTTTGGTGTTTCACTCTGGGGACCGATGGACAGAGATCCATCTTGTACGTGTCCGTGCCACATTTGGCTCAAGGGAAAACATTATGTCCCCTCTCCTTCTGCCACAGGGTTCCTCTGTCCACGGGCAACCTCGGCCGCTACTACAGTCGGGGCGCTGAAAAGGAACCCTTTTCGTTGGGGAAGTGCTCGGTGTTCCTTGATTGTTTTACACTTTGTCTCGGGTTTTCTTGAGGTTCTCCATGGGGAATCGAAGCCTAACTTATGGGAAATCGAAGGGGCCTCGTTCCTTATTTAGGGTTCCTTGGGTCAACGCCCCGACTGTATAGGTCCCTAGTGCCGAGCTCCCAGGAGCGGCCCCCAGAAGAAGCCCGACCCCCCCCTGAACCCACAAAATCCTCGAGACCCGACGTTGCCAAAAAACATCAAAAAACTGCAAAATCGGAAACAAATCACGGCGGGACCCCTGGACCCCATCGTTTTGCGTCATTCTTCAACCTGGATCGATCCGTGAGGACCCTGGGGCCCGCAGTTGAGCGAAAACGCTTTGGCTCGAAAAAATGGAGTCGCCAGGATCTCAGGGCTGGTTCCTGTCTCAGCCTCTTGGCTGCACTTCCCTCGGCTCCCCTCCTCGGCCATCTGCCGGCGGTCCTCGAGCCCCGGCCAGCCCTGGCTTGGCCGCGGCGGGCGCGGCGGTGCACAACTCTTCGAGCAGGCCCAGGACCAAGGCAGCTCGTTCCACAGCGTGCCCCAGGGCGCTGTGGGAGCGCTCCAGGGCGCTCTGGCGGCCAGGCCGCCCGGTGCACCTCTTCCAGAGCCGCCGGGTCCCAGAGATCCCCGATTTGTCCGAGTCTGGTCTGTCCTCGTCCTGGCTCGGGCCGAACGGTCCCCCCGCGGCCCCAAGCAGCCGCGCACCAAAGGCCACTCCTGAAGTGGAGGCCCATGCCAAGAAACACCCTGCTTGCCTCCAGGGTGCCCTGGATTTCTTGGGTTTCAAGGTTCTGCTGCGGGAGGCGCGACGGTCCCACACCAAAAACCAATGGACGTCCTTGGGTCTCTGGGTTGGGTTCCTTGTGTAAGGTTTCTTGTGGACTGGCCTGCACTGTACCCGGGGTCACTCCTGCGTGTAGCCGACGTTTTCGCCCGCGAGAGTGGCTCTGCGCCGGAGTGATCTGTGGTGCGGGCCTGCCGGGGGTCCCTGGTGCACTGGCATGCGCGCTCGGGCTTGGCCACCTCGCGGCCCCCCCCAACGCCGCGCACGACAGGTCACCCTTGCCTACGGCCGCTCTCGTGTGCAGCCGGCTTGTGGTGCTTGCGACGCAGGGCTTGGGCATCACAGGGCGGACCTCAAAACGCCAGAGGCAGACCATTGTCGGATGCCTACAGAGGCTGACGGCTGACACTAACACCAACATCGGCGGTGCGCCTCCACCGAGGGAAGATGTTCCCGATCTCGGTGACGGTGGTCACATTCGGGCTTCCAGGTGACCGAAACATGACTACCAGCACCGAAATCTGCGATCGTCTTCCCCCAGTGGAGGCACGCCTTTGTGTTGGTGTTCGTGCCCATTTCTCCGCGGCGAGTCCGGGGGGAAGTGAGAAGGGGCGGGACTTCGCAGAAGGCTTGGAAGTCCCCCGGCCTTCTGACAAGTTTTATGAGCCTTCCCCGAAGAAGCAGACAACTTCTGAGCAGGCGCGAGGGCTTCTGAGAGGCCCCGCCGCCTTCTGAGAGGGCCTTCTCGTTCTCATTCCCCCCCCCCGTGCTCGCCGACGAATCTCCAGCCCTCTAGCAATTTTCGCGTGGCACGCGCGCGCATCGGGCACGTGTGTGCGGCGACCTGGCCAAATGTTTTCTGCGTCGTTCTGAGACGGAGCAGCGGCGAGCGGGAGGATATCGAGGGATTGGCGCGGAGGAGCAGCAGGAGCACGACGACAACGAGGTCGACAACGACGACGACAACGAGCTCTACCACGACGAGCTCGACGACGACGATTACGACAATCAGTACGACGACTTTGACGACGACGACTTTGACGATGGCGACTTTGACGACGACGACGACTACGACGACGGCGACGACGATGACGATGACGACGACGACACCAACTTTGACCACGACGACGAAAACGACGACGACGACGACGACGGACGACGGACGACGACCGACGACGACGACGACGATCACGACGACGACGACGATTACGACGACTTTGACGACGACGATTACGACGACTTTGAAGACAGCGATTACGATGACTTGACGACGACGACGACGACGACGCACGACGACCACGATGACGATGACGCATGACGACGACGACGACGACGCACGACGACGCACGACGACGACGACGCACGACGACGATGACGACGACGACGATGACGATGACGATGACGACGGACGACGACGCACGACGATGATGACGACGATGACGACGACGACGATTACGACGACTTTGACGACAATTATTACGATGACTTTGAAGACAATGATTACGATGACTTGACTTGATGACGACGACGACGATGACGGACGGCAACGACGACGACGACGACGACGACGACGACGACGACGACGACGACGACGACGACGACTACGACGACGACGACGACGGACGACAACGACGACGACAAACAACGACGACGACGACAACGACGATGATGACGACGGACGACGGCGACGACGAGGACGACGACCACGGACGACAGGACGACGACGACGACGACGACGACGACGATAGCGACGGCGACGGCGATGGTGGTGGCGGTGGCGACGACGAAGGTGGCGGCGACGATGACGAGCAGACAGCAGCAATTGTCCCGCCCGCCACGACGACGACCACGACCAGGACGACAATGTTCACGACAACCACGTCGCCGAGGACGACGAGGACCTCGACGACGGTGCCGAGAACGACGCGCCGACGACGTCGACGCGACAACGGCATCGACGGCGACTTTGGTCGTGTGGCTCTTAGTTCTTCATCCCCCTCTCCATGCTCATGTCGTTCTTGCAGGTGCTAACTTTCGCTCAGCCGCTTCTGATGTACAACTCGTGGGGGAGGGGGGGCGACGACTACGAGGGCATCGGTGACGACGACGCTCGACGGCCAATACTCCCCAGACGCCTGGAGCCTCGAAAGATTCGACGGGCGGCTGCGGCGGCGGCGAAACCCCAGGCGGCCGCCTTCTTCGAGCTGGCGGAGGCCGACCTGAGGCCAGGGATCCCCGCCGTCGTCCGTCGCCGTCGCCGTCGCCGTCGCCGTCGCCGTCGCCGTCGCCGTCGCCGTCGTCGTCGTCGTCGTCGTCGTCGTCGTCGTCGTCGTCGTCGTCGTCGCCGTTGTCGTTGTCGTCGTCGTCGTCGTCGTCGTCGTCGTCGTCGTCGTCGTCGTCGTCGTCGTCGTCGTCGTCGTCGTCTCTGCCGCCCCCGCCGTCGCCCCCCCCCCGTGCCAGAACGATTACGGTGGGGGCGTTGTTTCAGGAGTGTGCCCAGGAGGCGTCAGAATTTGGAGGATTCTTCGTCTGATGATGGCGGCATTGTTTCGAAGAAGGAAAAGAAGCATAAACATAAAATATGGTGCTCCGCGCGGAATTCTTCGAGCCGCGCTGGGCCCCCCTGGCGGCGCCTCCGGCCCCGCCCCTGGCGCGCTCCACGCGCCAGGGAGGGGGTCCGGCGCAGATCCAAGAAATCGGCGCCGAGCGCCATAAGTTTATGTTTATGCTGATTTTTTTCTTCTATAGGAGGCGTCAGACTTTGGAGGACTCCTCATCTGAGGGTGGCGGTGTGTGATATCCATAGCCGATCCACGACTGGAGTTCCGCCGGCTTCCAGGCCCTGGCTTCCTTATCCTGGCATCTCTCGGACGCGTGCATGTTTTCCTCGGCGAGGACCGTCGAGGAGCATCCTGGATCATCGAGCAAAAGAAGCACGCACGAAACCGAAAAGTGCACGGGGAATGGGCGTCCGAGCGATGGCCAGTTATCCAACGGTTCCTTATTCAATGCCCTTACGGCAGCGAGTCCGCCCTGGGGCTCCTCGAGGGGGCGGTGCAGCCGCCATTTTCCGCGGGCTGGCGCCCGCGGGGTTTGATCCCCAGGCTGTTTTCACTTACGGGCCGCAACTTCCGCATACTTACGGAGGGGGCCTTGGTTGAGGAGTGATAAGGCATGTGTCCAGGAGGCCTCAGACCTTGGAGGTTTCCTTACTCTGGGTTTTTTGATAAGCGTGGGGGGGGTGCCCCTCCGACGGGGATCAACCTCGCCTCGTCGTCGCGCCGCGACGGGGGTCGGAGCGCCTTCGGCGCGCGACGGGGGTCCACGTGGGGCTGTCGGCGGGGGTGACGCCCCCACGACGCTTGTTAAGAAGTTAAGAAACTCGGAGTATCTGATGAGGGAGCGGCGGTCCAATCCACGAGTGCAGTTTCACCGGCTTCCAGGCCCTGGATTCCTTATCCATTGGTTCCTTATCCCAACGCCCTCACCGCAGCGCGCCGTGCCGCCGGGCCGAGCGCACCACGCCTCGGCGTGGCACGCCAACCACGTCCCCGTCCTCGAACGTCAACGTCCCGAGCTTTTCGAAGCCCTTCCGTCCTGCGGAGCGGAGCGGCACGCCATCCGCTTGCAAGCAATAGCGTGTCGCCAGGGACGCCGCCGCGACACGCCAAGCAAAGAGACAGCTTTTAATTAACCCCTTGGCGATAACGGCCGTGACTGGGTGGGAGGGATCGAGGAGGCCGGCCACGTCGCGATTCGCGGCGGCGCCGACTGTCAGGCGATCGCAAACATGGATCAAGGGGGCGTGGATTAGCGACGGGTCCGGTTTCCATGGGAAATCGCTGATATCCACCGCCGACCGAGGCGGCACTGGCCGCATTCTGGGGACGGAACCTCCCCCGATCCATGGAGTTGGCGACCGCTCGCCAGATCCACGGATGGCTCATCCACGTGTGCGCGCCCCCGAAAGATCTGGGAAGGACGCAGGGGTCGGTGGAGGAGAGAGCACCCCGTGCACGAGTGGATCGACGAGAAATCGACTCAGTGCCCCCGAGGGGTGGCGCGGGGGCAGGCACGTGCAGAAACGCGAGGCATTTTTTAGTGTTAAGTCGGGCCTGTCCCTCTACAGGAGGAATTTTCAAAAATAGTCCAAAAATAGCCTGGGGAATGCTCGGGAGTGGCACGTGCCCAGAGAGGGTGCTGGCGCGAATCGCCACGTGACCAGGGGGGAGGGGGCCCTGAGATCCGACTCTGCACCAAAAATTCAGCATCGCAAAACATCACGACCGGAGCCCTGGACCCCATCCTCCTGCGTCGTGTTCCGAGCCGGACCGATCTGTGTCGGGTACAGCCAGGATCGGGGATGGACAGACCCCCCTTTAGTAAAACGTGGTTTAGTGAAAACGACCCGAGGCCCAAACCTGGCGGGCGCAAGCCTGAAAAATAACGGCCACGGCGCCCTCTCGAGAACCGAAAACGGACAATTCACGAATCGACGTGTCACTGTTGGGGGTTCTGTCCACCCCCGCCAGGACCCCAGGTACGGGGCCCCAGAGCAAATTTGCCAGAATCACTAAACCAGGTCTGCCATAGCTGGTGTTTTTCGGGTGGCGGCAGTTTCGGTTAGGAACGGGGCCTGGGGGGCGCCCCGCAGTACACATCACTAAACCAGGCCCCCCGTCTGGGGTCCCAGCTCTGCCAACGCCCGGCTGTGAGGGTCCTGGGGCCCGAAATTGAGCGAACACGCCCGTTGCGAAAACATTGCAACGCCAGGATCTCAGGGGAGGGGGGTCGTCGGGCCGGTCGCGGGCGCCACCGCGATCAAGAAAGGCATTGGTTCGAAGCACCCGACCGTGAGTCAGCCACGCGCAGAGGGGGGTGGGGGGAGGGGGGAGGACTTCTGAGAGGCACCCCTCCTTCTCAGAAGACGCGGGCGCTTTCTCCGTGGATGCAGGGCCGCCGCCTTCTAAGAAGCAGCCTCCTTCTAAGAAGCCCTCCCCCCTCCCTCCACCCCCCTGTGAGGCGCAGCGCAGGGCACCGTGGAGGGGGAGGCTCTCTTTCGCCTCCCACCTCTCGGCAGGCCCCTGCCTCTCATCCAGCCCCACACGAGGGCCCCCATAGGGCGAGAGCACGGCGACCCCGCCAATGCCACCGCCCCCCCTCCCTCCACCCCCTCGCGCGCGTCGCCACGCGAGGGCACTCGGCCAGAGGGGGGGCCTCGCCCCTGCCCAGCGAGAGGCGCGCCGTGGAGAGCACCGTGCGCGGCGCGCCCGGGAGCGCCTGGGCGGCGCAGTGGGCAGAGGATGCCGCTCGCCGCACCCTCCGCGCGGGTGCCCTCGACCCGATCGGCCCGACTCGGTGGCGTTTCCGGGCGGCCCGGGCCGACTCGGCTCCGATCTCCTCCTCCTCCTCCTCCTCCTCCTCCTCCTCCTCCTCCTCCTCCTCCTCCCTCCTCCTCCCTCCTCCTCCTCGTCCCTCATCCTCCTCCTCCTCCTTCTCCTCCCCTCCTCCTCCTCCTCCTCCTCCTCGTCCTCCTCCTCCCCCTCCCTCTCCTCCTCCTCCTCCTTCTCCTCCTCCTCTTCTCTCCTCCTCCTCGTCCTCCTCCTCCTCCTCCTCCTCCTCCTCCTCCTCCTCCTCCTCTCCTCCCCCTCTTCCTCTCCCTTCTCCTCCTCCTCGTCCTCCTCCTCCCTCTCCCTCCTCCTCCTCTCCTCCTCCTCCTCCTCCTCCTCCTCTCCTCCTCCTCTCCTCCTCCTCCTCCTCCTCCTCCTCCTCCTCCTCCTCCTCCTCCTCCTCTCCTCCTCCTCCTCCTCCTCCTCCTCCTCCTCCTCTGTCCCCATATTCCGAAGACCCGATGCGGCCTGGTGCTTGCATGACGCTGCTGTGCATCTTGTCGCAGCCGATCCGATCCGATCTCGACTCCGTGCCGATGCGGCCCGATCCGATGCACATGTTCTTTCGTTCCGATGTACCGCTTCGATGCTGACGGATTCTGCCCCCCTCTGCCCCCTAGTGCCGCCAGCGTCGCAGATCGAAGAGGGTGGCCGAGGGTCGCGCATCGAAGGAGGCCTAAACTTTCGGAGCTCCGCGTGGATTTCTTGGAGATGGTTGGGACGAGGGCGCTGTTCTGAACGACGGAACCGCAGCACCGATTCTGGAATGAAGCCAACGCTCCAGCGGGAGCACAACCTCTGAGCGACCGAGAAAGTTCTGTAGCTCCAGACGTAGCACACGCGGTAGGCGGACGGCAATACTCACAGCATCAGAAGAGAGAGAGAGAGAGAGAGAGAGGAGAGCAGCATTCATGTTGCGTAGTTGTGGTGACGGGTGGGGGGGGCCGTAGACGGACAAAAAACGTTGAACCCTGGACTCTGCCCGCTCCCCTCCCCCCACATTCAAAGTTGTTCCCAGACGCTGAAGAGCGCAGGCTTGAAAGGACAAACAAGTGGAACCCCCGTGGCCTCCACCACGCCAGAGCCCAACTTCGAGTCGGGGGGGAAGGGGGCGGCGAACATGGCATTAAGTCGGGCCTGTCCCTCTACAGGGGGAGTCTTCAAACATAGACAAAAAAATAATCTGGGGACGATTGTTTGATTATTTTTGACCATTTTTGAGTATTTCGGGTGTATGTTTTATCTTTCGTCCAAAATCCCCCTGTAAGTGGACATGCCCGACCTAAACATGGCATCGACGATGAGGGGGGTCCGCTCTTTTGCCCCCTTCCCGAAAGGAGCGAGCGAGCGAGGGATAGAAGGAGGGACAGAGAGAGAGAGAGAGAGAGAGAGAGAAAGAGAGGAGGAAGAGGAGGAGGAGGAGGAGGAGG